ATATATATACATATATATATTATATTCATATATACATATATAAATATATATATATACTTATATGAATATATATTATATATTCATATATACATATTAATAAATATTATATTATATTATATAATATACTATATGTTATATATTAATATATATTATGTAATATAATATATAATATTATGAGATAGAGGAAGAAGTAAAAAAAAAAATAATAATAAAGAAATTTACTATTAAGGAGACACGAAGGGTAGATCTCATTAAAGTTCAAAATTGTTCTCCTTATTTTTAAAATTTCAAAGAATACTTTAAAAACAAGCTAAACTTGCTTTCTGTTTTTTTTAACTTAAATCTCATTTTTTTTCAAAATTTTGAGGAAAAAAATGCTAAATAAATAGGTTTTGGGTGTTTTTAAAATTTTGAGAAAAAAAAATAATTTCCGGAAAGCTAACCAACACATGACCCTTATTTTTGGCATGTATGATTTGTTTTTAATTGGATTAAAAATTAGATTAATTAAAATATACGTAAGTTGATCCAAATACCCTTGATCGTTGAAAAAAAGAAAAAAAAATCTTAGCCAAATCAATTTAGTACTTTTTTTTGCTGGTTTAAAAGGGCGTAAGGGTGATTAATATGTAATAATTCCTTGACAAGTGATTATGAGGGTTCCTCACTGTAGAATGTTTGATTTAAACTATAAGTACTAATCCAGAATGATAACTCGTCACTACAACACCAATAAAATAAACAATAAACTGCGTTGTTTGATAACCACATAGGGGTGGCGATGTTATTTTTGATTAAAGCTCTACATTTATCTTCTAATTAAAGTTTTTTTTTTGGTCCAATTCTAATTAAAGTTAAGTTGACGGAAGTTTGAGTCATATTTGCTACTAATTAATATGATTAAGGGTGGAATTTGAAATAATTAAGTTTGAAGTGTACAAATTTATTTTAAAATTTTTTAAAGTATGAATTGTCATTTATCATTTTTTAATAAGGGATTAGAGTTGATCTGGATCGGTAGATTAATATGATTTGATCTTGTTTTGGAACAATATCACTCTCGTATCCAAACACATCGCAAATCTGCAAACACGCCACCGGCCACCATCATGCTCCTTCCCTCCTTTCACTGATCCAAAAATTCCACGCGCCATTCTCTCCAGACGATTCGTTTTCTACTTCCAATTCCAAACCTGTTAGAATCCACACCTCTTCTCTTCTCTCTATCAATTTTAGGGAGAGAAAGAGAGAGGGTGTACGAAATTTTTGGGTGTGTAATGTAAGGTGAGATTTGCAATGCACGCGTACAATCGGCTACCGAGCAGTGGACATAACAGCCCGTCATCACCGCCGTCGCCGCTCCTGTCTCCCAGGCTCCGCCACGGCCGGTCTAAAGCTGGCCGGTTCACTCCCGGTCCGGCCCCCAAAAGCCTAGCCCAACGCGTCGCTTGGGTCCTATTATCTGTCCTCCTCCGAAGACAAGGCATATTTCTCTTTGCTCCGCTTTTGTACATCTCCGGAATGCTGTTCTACATGGGAACGATGTCGTTTGATGTGGTGCCGATCATTACTCACCGTCCGGCTCCGGGGTCAGTTTATCGGAGTCCTCAGCTTTACTCGAAGCTCCGGCCCGAGATGGATTCGGCTAACTCGTCTGCCGATGCGGTCAGTGATTTGGTTTTGCTCTATTGTATTAGGTTTTGATTTGATTGAAGAATGGGGAGTGTGATTTGGATTGAAAGAGACGTTGACAATCCATATTTTGAATTTTGCACTGTTGGAATTTGTGTGCAACCAATTTCCTATTTGGCGATTTTCGTTTCAATTTCATTGAAATCTCTCGAGAACCAATCTGGGCCTTGAATACCTGAATTTACTTGCTCTGACTTAATTAGAATTTCGAGAATTTGAAAAAGATTGAACATGAATTGAAGAGAGAGAAATGAAGTAGACGGATCTCTCCCTCTCTCATAAAAGTTGACTTCTTTGTTTTTTCCTTTTGGCCCCAACAAACTAGAGTCCTTACTTTTCTTTCTCTTGCCCCGATATAATTCGTTCCTTTCTCTTTCTCTCTCTAGCTCTCATTCGGGTTAGTTGATATACTCAGATCATTTGATTTAGGTAACTTCAACAAATTGTATTTTGACACTAATGTTGATGTTTTGGTTGGACAGTGGGGACAGTGGCCAGGCCTTAATTGCTTATTAGTTGCTTTTATCTCATGTTCACATATTCGGTGTAAGAATAGTAAGAATAACACTGGAATCTGGATGATTTAACTAGAATTTTTGGGTACAGAGTTTTTGAGAGCGAGCAATTGATTTTGGTGGTGGAAAGGTGAGCATTTAGTTTTGGATTGCTTGGTTTTAGCCAATTCCTTTATCTCTTGGTGATTGTACTAGTCAAATATAACAGCACTGTTTGAAAGAGTTGATGGCTGGTTGGCAATTCCTATATAAGTGTGGCTGTGTGGGCAAGTGCTTGAAAGAATTTGTATGGATCTTCTAACACTTTGCTGGTGCATATGTTTACATCTTCGCCTGTGATGGTTCTCATTCAAGTGCAATGTAGATCTTGGAGTTGAGTAGAACAAAGATAGTGCCCTCTGATGGTTTTTAGAACATTTGATTGACCTTGAAATTTGAATAAACATCTTGGGGGTAAAATGACATTATGATAATAGAGATGAAAAGACTATGGAAATTGTTTTGATAATTATACTTTAATACGATATTGGCTGAGTTTGTTACATGGATGCTGATTTGATGAACGGAGATCATATTTATGTGGCGATAGTTTGTTTTTGTGAGAGAGAGATATAGTTGCATTCAAATTAATGAATTATTTGGATTTGCTATAATGTTTCTCATTGGAGCGAAAATCAAAGACATAATTGGTGACATTATAGGTGGACTTTAGAATAGTTCACATAATTCACTTGGAAATTGGAAATTTGGTTGCTATATGGATAAGCAAATTGGGGGGTTGAGGGACAGTTAAGGTGTTATGGTGATTGAGGACAAATATTTATTACAATATTTTTAATATTTTGTGCGCATTTTTGTGTCTTGATCTAGATATTGGTATTTTGAGTTGATAAAAGAGCATATCCTTCATTACAAGTTGATGAAACAACCATCTTTATGAAGAACGTGATCATAATTCTTCTCTGGACTTTAGAACTCATTTTGCGAACAATTTGCTAATTTATATTATCACTCATTCAGTACGCCCAATTATTTACAAAGTAAATAATGAGATGCCAGTACAATTTGAGTAACATCAGTTTTCTTATTTTTCTTGACCAGAGACAAGAATTTTTGATTACATGTTTTCTTATCTGCTAACTGCTGTTGACTCAAGGCATCAAATTGATTGTAGATATCAACCGTATGGAAACACTCTTATAAAGGGGGTCATTGGAGACCATGTACAAACAAGTTTTCAGGAGGTATGAAATATAACCGAAGCCATTCATGATGTTTCTTGTGCTTTAGTTTCTAGTCACATGGTTGGTCAATTGTTTTCTAATGAATAATGTGGATTGCACATAAATGATGCATGTTTAGGCTCAATTGGATCTGACTGTTATAGGGAGCTTTGGCCATATGATGTTAGATGTGCCCTTATCTCCAATGTTTTGTTGTTTTTTATGGAATTTTTTTTCTATTATATGATTACATACATTTTCCTTTTATATGATGAAATGTTCATTATTGTCCTTGTCAACCTCCTTGACTAAGTATCGAAAGAAATTAGAAATGTCTCATCACATAGGATTTAATGATGCAGAATATGGAATTCTTTGGTCACATTGGAATTAGAATTAACTATTTTTAGCTGTTTGGGAAGCTGTGTTGCACAGTCAAGAGAAGTCAAGAGCATGAAAAATAAAATCAAATATATTAGTGGGTGTACTAATATTTGTGAGAGTTTGACGTCCGTGTATGGTATATTGAAAACCCCACCTCCCCAAAAAACAAAATAAAAAAAAAAAAAAATCTAGAGTGCTAGATAGGAGGTACCGGTTCTAGATACAAGGGAAAAGAAGGAAAATCAACATGCAATTTAATCTTTTCTTATTGGTATGACTCGAAGTTTGCAAAAGAATACGTACTTTACCAAGATGGTGAAGATGCTCGACAATCTACTTTAGGATAAAGATTGTATTAGCGATTAGGAAAGCATAATATGGCATGCAAAAAGGACACTTAAATTTCTTGTTCTTCTTGTTTATGCCTCATATATCGGAGCTCTAGTTCTTCTCCTCTCAAAGAACCACCAATAACTACGCAATGTGTTTTGATAAAGCGATGATAAAGACTGTAGCACACAAATTATGATTATGACGATGACACTAAACTATAACGTTGAAAGAGGTGATGGCTTGTTGATGATGATTCATGACAATTTGCAATGTTGGCGGCTTGTACATAGCTTATATATATATATATAAGAAAAGAAAAATGCAACCCTAGCTCAAAGACAATATCACATTCAACACTGCCACACTAAGAAGATAATTGTAACTTTGTCCATGGGAATTTAGTTTGAGCCCTCTACCTTTGGTTAGAAAGATTAATAATTCTATTTTCCGATGAATTTAATTTCATCAAAAAAACCAAAGTGTGTAAGATATGACCAGAAGGTTACTGGTAGGTCCATCTATTTTGAAATAGTCAAACCCTTGAATTCAATAGAAAAATGAAATTTCAAAGGCTATAAACTATAATCAACATGTATTTTTTTAGTGTCTGGGAAGCTAAATCTGTTTATAAAGGCCATGGAAGATGGTTTTAGGAATTCTTGGTGTGGTTGCACAAAAACAAATAGTTTTAGAGTCGATGAAGTGGGATGATTCTCATGTTGTGTGATGTTTTTCAGCAAAGTTCAAGATCGTCATGTGGTGTTACTGAAATTTAGTCGTGATGATGGTGAAGATTTGATTGCCTCCAATGTTGACAATGATGATGGCAACAATTGTAGTATGGTAGTTAAGTCTGACGATGAGTTTGAATATGGTAGTGGTGGAAGCAAATAATAGAAGAAGGTAGAAGGAGGAGGAAGTAGAAGGAACGGAAATCCAAAAGCCCTTAGTTTTTTAGAGCCAATGATTCATAAGATTGGGAAAAGGCTTGATGGGTGGGAAAAAACTTATTTGCCAAGGGGTAGACTTGCTATAACTCATTTTGTGCTTGATAGCATTCCATTTATTACATGTCCTTGTTTAGGATGCTTTCAATCTCAAATGTTGTGAAAATGATAAAAAAAAATGATGAAATATTTTCTACGAGAAGATAGTAGTGAAGGGAAAAAAGATCATTTAGTTTGTTGGGATGTGATGTCTCAATCTAAATTTAAGGGAAGTTCTGTATTGGGTAACCTAAAAGCTAGAAATATCTCTTTACTTGGTAATTGGAGATTCCTTATAAAGCATAATAGTTTACAGTATTAGTAATCAAGAGCAATTTGGGATTCAAGATAATAGGTGGGATTTTAATCTGAGTGAGAGAGGTTGCTTTCGTGTCTTTAGAAATTTACTTATCAAGGATTACTCTATTTCTTTCAAAATCTGAAATATGTTGCGGGTAGTGGGGAAAAGATTCCTTTTGGGAAGAATTTGGTCTTTTGCTTCCTCACTTATATTTGTTATCTAGATCTCATAATACATCCATTGCTATCATGGTCTCCTCGTCCTCTTTTACTACTAATTTGGACTTCAATCTCTTTGGAAATTTGAGAGATAGGGAAGTGGATGAATTGTCATCCCTTTTGGATATTATTGCAAATTATTCTTGAATCTTTGATTGATAAACTATTTTTTCCATTCTTTGGTTTGGAAGTGTAAGACACCTTTCATGGTACAAGTTTTTGTGTGGTTGATGTTTCATAGGAAACTTAATACTAATGGAATGCTCCGAAAAAGAAGGCTGTTATCTTATCTTCAGTCTGGATGGTGAACGTACAAATCATTTGTTACTTCTGTGTACCTTTGTCCTGTAGTTGTGGAATAGACTCTTGGATATTGCCTGGATTCCTTTGGTTTGGTTCATGTCCTAAAGCTAAGACTCTTTGGAGATGTGTGGTGTTGGCTTTATTTTGGCTGGTTGGGTTAGAATTTAGAAAGAAATGTGCGAATTTTTGAGGATAAGAAGGCTACTCAGGAAGAACTATGGAGAAAATCCTTTTATGGCATCTCTTTGGGTATTGACATCCAACGATTTCAAAGCGATTTTATTACTTGTAATTAAAGATCATTGGGAATTGTGTGAATAGTGATGACACACAAAATCTTCATCACTTTGTTTCTCTTTTGTTTCGGATTTTCTTTTCTTTTCTTCATGTAGCTAAGGAGGACTCCTTGTTCTCCCATGTACTTTTATCTTTCCAGTCACGTTAATAATATTCTTTTTTTAGAAAGAAAAGAAGGAAGGAAGGAGAGACAGAGGACAATGTAATATGTCCACTTCAGACATTATCCAATCCACATCCATTGTGTTTTAGCCTTAGTCTCACCGTCGCTCTCATTATGCTGTTGGCCACAAGAAGTTTCATGTTAGCTGGTAACATTGTCTGGCAACTCAATCCACCCAAATGTTGATGGTTTTTTGGTGCATGCCTATGTAAGCTAACACAGCATATTTGTGGTGTCCCTTCCAGCATAATACATGTCCATGTATTTTTATGCATGTATAAATATACCTCTATGGGCATATGTGTTTTCTGCAGTCATATTTTGTTCAAGATCTAATAAAGGTGTGCTTATTTGTTATAGGCCTACCCGAGTCAAATGGGTATATACTTGTTGAGGCAAATGGTGGCTTGAATCAGCAGAGGACATCGGTAGTTTTTATGCTTCTTCACCCTTTCTTTTTTATTTAAAAATATAAGGTTGAGATTAACAGCTTTAGTAACTTATATTCTAGTTGACTGATATATATGTGTGCAGATATGCAATGCGGTTGCTGTTGCGGGTTATCTGAATGCAACGCTTGTAATTCCCCATTTTCATTATCATAGCATTTGGAGAGATCCTAGGTTTGTTGGCACGTTTGTATGTACCTTGCCATATTGCTTATAGAGATTAGCCGCCTAACTTTGCAGTTGTTCATAGAAATAGATATTAGGGAAAATGTAGTTTTTCATATCCACCCTAATGGATGGTGTGTCAGAAATTTACAATGTTTAAGAAAAGTGCCATCGACATTATTGTAGAATTTTTCTGTTTGATTAGTTGTCAATTAGCAGTCCAACATTTAACAGACTAATTTATCTCGAATTCATTTAGTATAAATGTTTGACCGGGGGAATACATTTGTGCAGCAAATTCGGAGATATTTATGATGATGATTATTTTGTTAGATCCTTGAAAAATTATGTGTGGGTGGTTGACAAGATCCCTGAGTATATAATGGAACGTTTTGACTTTAATGTGAGTAATGTATACAACTTTCGAGTAAAAGCTTGGGCATCCATCCAATTCTACAGGGATACGGTTCTTCCGAAGCTACTTGAAGAAAAGTGAGTTACTATACATTCTGTATTTTCCAATGTCACCTTTTTGCGCTTCTGTTTATTCTCTATTTGCTTAACTCCTCTGTTGTGCATTCATGTTATTATGGTAAAGCAAGTTAGATACTGTATTTATGTGGGTATGCTTCTTGTTTTGAGGTGTCAACTTTGTTGGCGATTATCCCCCAATATCTTCATTGCTTCAGAGAACATGTTTGCCATTCTGAGTTTTGGAAGCAACCACATAATTGGTACGGGATTTGCTGGAGTTTAGTGATATTCTATAAGCATTCCTGACTGCATGCAATATTGGTTCCATTAATTATATAACATAGTAGAAAGGTACAAATGAAGTATGTGTTGCATTTTATTGGGAATCATGTTAGGAATAAGACTATCTTGAAGATTAATTTTTCTTTTTCTAAATTTAAAACTAAAGGATGCTATCTCATCTCTCATGGCCACCCTCAGAAGATAAGGAAATGAAGGAATACCCTACATTTTCATTATCCGTAAGCTTGTGCTTGCTTGACTTCATATGCTTGATAGTTAGCCTAATTTTTCCATCCATATTCTGCCGTGCTAGTGGATGCTCATTTGTCTTTTTATTTTCTTCTTTGCCCCCTTTTCCCTTTCTTTGGAAGAGGAATGGGGATAAGTAGTCACTCCCCGTTGTTCTCCCAATGCTGGGCTTAAATACTTTTGACATGTTCTAATTTGTGGTGGTTGACTGACTGGTCATTATAATGCTTGGTGTTAGATTGACTGTGGTCATTATAATGCTTGGTGGTAGATTGACTGTGGTCATATGGAAGTTTATGTATACCTTGACAAAGTGTAAATGAAAACTATGTGGTTTGTGTCTAGTATAATCTTCTTTCACACTTCTGGCAGTACAAAGTGGAGTCCTCTCCTGGAAATCAAAACTGTGGTATGACTTTGAATTTGAATCAGGTTATCATTTTAGCTTCTTTTTGTCTAAAATACATCGGAAATTGCATGATATAGAGTACATTCCCTCTTTATCTATCATTCTGATCGAAGTTTGGACGATTTATTGTTGTGGGTGGAGTGACAATTTCTAGTGGTCCCGTAGAAATTACACTTCCTGCTAACATGATAATAATTAGGTGGGGTGGTGTTCAATATGAATAGTCTTATTTGACATGACACACCGGTGTAGCGGGCATTATGTGAAGAAAAGTCTAGGTTTCTTTTTTTTCTCCATTTCTTTATTTGATATTGTATAAATTCTTATGGGATTAAAAAAAAATTTTACTTGATTTTGCTAGTATCTGAACTGAGGGATTTTTAGTTTATTATGGGCAAGTTTGGTTATGAGATTATCTTACACAATCAGTTAAACTAGTTAGGTTGGGTTTGACTATTACTAAATGACCAAATTGACATGATGAGCTGATGCGGTAAATTGGAAAAAAACAAACTAGTAAAAGTTTATTCATTTACATTTCTCATTGCTAGCTATGAAGCATAAACATTCTTGAGAAGGTGACGTATCCGTGTTGGACACGTGTTAGACATCGACACTCTTTGAACACTCTTAGACATGTGTCCGATACTTTTTATCTGTGTCCATAATTAAATAAAAAATTTTAATTTCAGACACATGTCCGACACATCTTTAGAACGTGTCTATTACTAAATAATAAACATGTGTTGAAATGTGATTAACAATGTTTAAAAATTTGAGAATATATAATTACTGACACTAGACATTTTAAAGTTGTACTCCAAATATAATAATAAAAACAAAAGATGCATAAAAGTTTAAAAAAATAGGAATTGAGAAAATGAGAACAATTATTTAAATTACATATTAGGTACACATTGTTTACAAAAAAATTGATGATTATTGACTATTATGATGATGCTTTAGTCTAAAAATTCACACAGATGACTACACTTATGATTTATTTATCATAAAATACTGAATTTTTTATAAATTGTATATCATTATCACTATATTTGCGATAAATTATATAATGTTATATATAAAATATGATTTTTGTAGTGTGTCCTTAGCGTGTTCGTATCCTACTTTTTGGAGAAATATTGTGTCTGCGTGTCCATATCGTATTTGTCTCTAGTGTCAATGTTTGTGCTTCTTAGAATGCTAGTGGACAACAACAATATTTCAAATGTGAATTTGTTCATGGTGGCTAACAATTTCTTTTTGGAAAATATGGTGGCTAACGGTTTTGTTATCTCTCTTCTATGTGTGTGGGTGAGGCGGGAGATAATTTGTTCTTATTTTTAACTATGTTCACCATTCACTTTTTTTATTGATATTTTTTTTGTAAGTGTTTGACTCAGGGTCATACGATTTTCTCCTTTTGCAAACCGATTGTCATTTGATGCTCCTCCAGTCGTTCAACGGCTAAGGTGCTTAGCAAATTATGAAGCTTTACGTTTCTCAAGCCCCCTTTTAACTATGGGTGATACTTTGGTAGCAAGAATGAAAGAACGAAGTTCAAATAATAGCGGCAAGTACATTTCAGTGCATCTTCGCTTTGAGGAGGTCAGTTGTCAGTGAATTGGAAGCACTCTATTTTAATTAAATTCCATATTGTATACATTAGTGAGATTAATGAAAATCTCGAGCAAGGGTTTGATCATATTCTTGTGCAGGATATGGTTGCTTTCTCTTGCTGTATATATGATGGAGGAGAGAAAGAAAAAAAGGACATGGAGGCTGCAAGGGAGAGAGGTTGGAAGGGAAAATTTACGAAACCTGGTAGGGTTATCCGTCCTGGATCAATCAGAGTCAATGGGAAATGTCCTTTAACACCTGTAGAGGTATTATTTGTTGCTTTTTTGTACAATCCACTTGCTTTTATCAATAATGTTTTAATTTGTGATTCCTTTAGGTCTTGGCCATACATGTACTACAGATTTTTTTTTAATCTCATTTTCTGTGACCCCTCTATATCATTATCTTGCATTCAGGTTAGTGATATGGGTACATGCTCTTTTTGCACTATACTAGGTAGTGCACAAACACTTCTTTCCCTCACTGATTGCTTTCACCTTTAGACTTTTGTTTATGCAAAATCATGTGCTTTTATGGGATGAGAAGCTGATAGATATTTATCTTCTCGGTCATAAAAATTTTAGTGATCACAATCTAGTCAAATGGTTTTCTGCTTTGGCTGTTGGGGCTTGAATTGGTTCCTACATTGCAAAGTTTTTTACTTATTGGTTGGGTTTGTGTTCAGTGAAATTAAGGCCTTTTTTCTGCCTTTGTGGTTTTATTTAACAATTTGCTAGGGAAAAAAGCTAAAAGGAATTTTAAACTGACCACAATCATTACAATAATCACAAAATTCCATGGACAATGTTAGAATATCTGTACTTCCATATATAAAGTTTAGAGCTTCTCTTTGTGGTTGCAGATGCTAAAGCACATCTAAATTCTGTGGTTTTTATTTCAGTTTTGTTAATAAATACCTTGGAGTTAAGTGAACCCCTTTTTTCAGCATGGGCGTTTATTTCTTCTATAACTATGAGAGAGAGTTTGAAATTTGCTCTTGACATTTGGTCTCCAGTTGGCAAACTACTTTGTAACCTACAGAAAATTGTTTCAGCTTCTGGCTGCAGTAACAATGGTACACATTTATTGTAAGTCCTCTAGGATGTGTTGGATTTCTTGTTTTGTGCTACAACTTCAGTTCAATTATTTGTTTGTCATGCCTCACAAAACAATCAGACAAATAATTGGGTTGTGTTAGAGTGATTTTATACGTAGGCTCTATTGCTGGTTTAGACTGTTTTCTTGTATGTCATCAGGTTGGTTTGATGCTGAGAGGAATGGGGTTCGATAAAAGCACATCCATCTATTTAGCATCTGGAATGATATACGACTCTGAGAGATATATGGCTCCACTAGTTGAAATGTTTCCCCTTTTACAAACAAAAGAGATGCTGGCATCACCGGAGGAGTTAGCTCCTTTTAAGGTTTGAATACTTTGTTAGTTTTCTCCCAAATTTACAACCATTGTGGTATCTGATTGAAGACAATGCTCTGACTCAATTTACTGCATGTAGAACTACTCTTCCAGGATGGCTGCCATAGACTACACTGTTTGTCTTCATAGTGAAGTATTTGTGACAACTCAAGGTGGAAACTTCCCTCATTTTTTGTTGGGCCACAGAAGATATATGTACGGTGGACACTCAAAAACCATCAGGCCTGACAAGCGAAAGCTAGCTGTAATATTTGCCAATCCCAATATTGGGTATGCATTCATCTCGTAGATATAGTTTCATGTTGTTCAGTTGATCAGCACTCTAGTTTTAACGGACCAGAATATGACTAAAATATAACAAAATTTGACACGATTGAAACACATGGAGCAGATGGGTTTGTGAATTGGTCCCAATCCCATATCTAGCTTGGGTTGGAATAAGACTGGCTGTTAAACGATCATTAATACACTATGGAGAAGTATATTCAAATACTGGTCATTTACAATTAGGTTTCTTAGAATATTCAAATATGTCAGAGTAAAGAATTTTGCTGCTTCCCCGCTGTCTTTGGCATGGCAGAACATGACAAACCATAATGAACAATACTTAATTTTAGGTGTATCTAAAATTTGAGCAAGCGAACCACGACGCATGATTCAAGTGCTTTTTGCGCATGAACAATGATGTCGTTATTTTTATAACATTTCATATGCCTGGATACTAACTTCTGTTTGTAGTGATATCGTTTCTTCAGAATGTTATATGTTCGAAGGATAGTTGGTTTTGTTTGTTCAATCATTTTTTTGCGGGGTTTGTTGCAGGTGGAAAAGCTTCAAGCGGCAAATGCTGAGTATGCGGGCTCATAGTGATTCAAAAGGAATTGCACTCAAAAGACCAAATGACTCCATATACTCATTCCCATGTCCAGATTGCATGTGCCACATGAACAAAACAGAGGATTCAAGATCACCACCCGTGACATGATGTGCCCCGGGCCCCTGAAGCATGGGTTTTGGATGTGTTTCCGTTCCTGCAATTTTGTGTGCAGATGTAGCTGCTAACCTCTTAATCGGATTGTGATTCCTTCATTTTTTCGCTGGGAGAGGGCGAACACATGTATATCTGCTTCAAGGATTTGTTACAAGACATCAATCTGATTATTTATTGAGCCGTTGTTGAGGATGACTTCATTTTTTTGTGCATGATGCCAGAAGAGAATACAAAGATTTTCTGTTGCTGAAGTTACCCAGGTGTTAATTTTACGTCAATGCATGCATGTCGTTGCAGCTGCTGCATCTGATACATAGCATAGCTTTGCACCCTGGTGTTACTCTGATTGTATTTTGTACATTAGTTGGTTAGATCTGTACGAATAAAACTATAGAAACAGAATTGTGGTTATATATTTAATTTTTTTACATCAAATATTTTCAAACAGATTAACCCCTTGACTCGAACTAGTTTATACCAATTGTTGTAACCCATCTAAGATTATTTTCTTTAATTCATTTGAAAATAAATTAGGTCTACTAATTATGCATCTTTATTTCGGTGAAACCAATATGAGCATATTTTTACACTCACCATATGTAGGATTCATCTAGTAAATCATATATGTATATTTTTTTTTCATATTGCCCGAGTGCATATTGGTTCGTGCAATATTTTTATTTTTCTCCATTTATTTCATAATTTTTAGATTTATTTAAATTGAGTTACTGATTTTTTTTTGACAAAAAATTGAATTACAGATTACATATCAACAGTTGGTATATACATATTTGGTATTTAGCACCAATTAAAAACAGCCACTTTAGTAAATAGTCGGATAATGGCAAGAAATTGACATATTGGAATGACAAATATAACGCTGTTTTCTTTCTTCTCTTCCAAACTTTTTTCTCTCTCCACCTTCCAACAAATCTTCTCACATGATTTATTTTTGTTTTTCTCTCTTCTGTGTACCATTGTAGCTTCTCTTGAATGAATTATTTTTTCTCTTACTCTTGGGGTTTCGTGCTTCATGCTCATATCAACGTTTAATTGTATTTGAATATATAGTTTTATGATTTTAAGTAGTTTATGGAGACTGAAGTTTTGAGTTGTTCAAAGTTTCAATGGCGTGATTGGTGGATTTGGCCGTCAGACTTGAGCCGGTTGGTAGGAGTAGTTCTTGACTGCCTCTCCGTTGTGGAGGTTGGGTTGTTTTTTGGGGCTTGTTTCTTGGGTTTTTGTTTCAGAGGGTGTGGTTTGAAAATGTTACATCTGAGGTTGGTTTTCAATAAGTTGCAACTGTTTATTGCCACTGCCATGGCTCTGAGCTTGGAGTTAAACCAAATATGAAGAAGCTATATGGAGAAGTACTAGAGCTATTACAAAACGTGTAAATTTATGAATTAATCCCATGGATCTTCGCTGGTGCCCGTGAAGGTGTAGGGTAGACGACGTGTGGGCCACAAATCATGTTAGGCGCGTGCCCTTGCTTTTCTTGGACTGCAAAAGCTGTTGCCGCCGATCACTTTTGATCAAATGACTTTCTGTTCGCATCTGGCAGGGTTTGGTTGGACCATGTGCACAAATTATATTAAATATATGTTGTTTTATATAATTTTTTGTTCTATAATACCTGTTATTTTATAAAATTAAAACATAATAAATATATATTTTTTAAAATTTATTCTTATCTCTATTTTTCAATAAGTACTTAATAGATTAAATATAGGTTAAGTGTATTTTATATTCTTTTTTTTTTAATACGCTTTTTTACCAATATTTAGAATCTTTATTTTTTTATCAATGTTCACCACTAAATTAGAATATTTAAACCTTCTAAATATTCTCATAGACTCTTCTTTACTAACTTATAAATTGACCTCGGCCACTCCCAAATCATGGAGCCAACAAAAATATAAATCACCAACAACAATTACTGTTATAAGCTTATTCCTATTTTATCTTGTAAGTTTTCTATTTTATAAGCCTTTGATTCTAAGTTTGTATCTTACATTTCTCCGAAACAACAAAAGTCTTTTCTTCTTTTATTTTTGAAGTTATATTCTAATTCCTCCGTTCTTCTTAAAGTTCGGTTGTAAGTCATGGACGAGTGAAAACTTATTTTTAATAAAACAATTTTTAAAATTTTGAATTTATCTTTCCTCACCGTTTTAGGGAAGAGCCAAGTGGTTCCAATTGATAAAACTTCAATATGAAGAGAAAAGGTGGTAAAACATCATCAAAGACTCGAGAGGAGAAAAAGAGGGGTTTTCGAGAAACCAGTTGGATTTGAGGTGATTTTGGCTAGGAACATAGGGAGGAAGATAGAGGAAAATGGGTGGTAGTGAGAGGAATGGAGCTATGAGGCAGTATGTAAGATCAAATGTGCCTAGATTGCGATGGACACCTGATCTACATCACTGTTTCGTACATGCCATCAAGAGGCTTGGAGGGCAACACGGTAAGTTCTTAATGTTTCTGTTTAAGGCTTTGCTAGGTTGCTCTTTTGTTTTGGTCGATCTATTCGTTTCTCTCAATCAAAAAACCTCTCTTTTGCTCTTGGTCATTGTGCTATTATTTTCTCTTCTCTTATACAATCCCACAGAGTTTTCTTAATTCATTCATGCTTCCGTTTGGATTATTTCCTTTTCCCCGTTGTAATTTAAACAAATGGATGTGTGTTTTTGTTTTCTATTTTGTAGAAGCTACACCCAAGCTTGTTCTTCAGTTGATAAATATTTAGAGGAATCACCATTTCGCATATCAAAAGCCATCTCCAAGTTCGGATTTTCCTTTCATTATCTTGTGTTCTGGACTTTTATTCTCTCTTTTGGTAACTTACGGTTCAAATTTTCGACAAAACAATTCTTACTCTAATTATTCCTCTTCATAAATTGTTCTTTTTTGGTTATTTTATTTTATTTTTTATTTTCTCTGATCTTCTCTCGCTTTTTGTTATTTGTGTTCTTTTTGTTCCAAACAGATGCGTAGAAGCATGAAGAGCGATATGACCAGACTAGGTATCCGAAGTTTACCTTTCGTTCCATAGTCCATACATGTGCATCTGTGTGTTGGTTTGTGTATTTTAAGAATCCTCCTTTTGCCCAGCAAACATAAACACTTGTTTTCTTAACATTTTTTTTTATTATAATTTCCTCCTCACTGAACATAGAGTTGCATTAATCCACCGTAGGTTTTCTTCACTTATCTTTGGAAATAAGTTGCTGCCTCACTACATTTATTATCCTTTCCCTATAAAGCAATTTTTAACCAAAATAGATGATTTCACATATTCAAACCAGTACCCTTTTAGATCTTCTAGAACCTCAATCTCAAATGCTTAGTTTTACCAATGTTCTTTGAATCAATACTTTGTAAAGTGATGTGCCCCATTTACATTCTTTCATTTGTCAACACACACTCTCTCACACACGGTCTCTGAAACCCGTTATAGAATCAGATTCTAAGTTCATATACAGTCCTCTACCAACAAAAAGGAATGCTTAGCCTTAGGCTTAATAATGTTGAAATGAAACACGCTAGACATTGCTTGTTCTTTTGGGATTCAATGCGGGAGAACCTTAGGTTCAATGACCTGAAATATGTTAAGTTGTTAACCGAAAGGATAAAATATAATAAGAAAAAAAAGAGTGTATTCCTTTTCTCCATGTCTTGCTCGGAGTCATACCAGATCATTACTGTAAATTGTTTACATATGCACCGGTAGGGTGGTTTTTTCTCATGAAGTCTATTCATTTGTTCACTTAGAACTCGGTCCGGGTCTAATGACTTTTATATGTTAACGAAAGTATTAATATTCAAAAAATTGATTGGAAGTCAAAAGATATGTTAAAATAATTTCAAGTCCTCTATTTGCTTCACTATCTATTTTGTTTATGTCTTGACATTAATTTTTTTCGTAAAATTCGTTTGTTTAGGAGGAGAATCATAAAAGATGCAAAAAAGAGAAACTTTTAAAAATTTTAATGTGTTTGGTTAACATGAAAAGGAAAATCATAGAAAAAATAATTCATTTTCATACTTGAATTTTCTTACAAATATTCAATTTTTTTTTTTGTAAATAGCACAAGGAAATGAAAGAAAGTTGTGATCTATAACTAATTTTTTGTTTTTTTAAAAATATTTTATTGGTTATTAATTTTAAAAAATTATGCTATGAATTTGATTAATCATATAATTTGGTTCAAAGATTTTTGGGTTGGTGATTGTTTTAGAATTAGGATACAGGCTATTTTTTTAAAATTTTTAAAATTTTAATTATAATTACATTTTTAGATCGATTTAATATAATTCAGGATAATTATAAATTTTTTTTTTATAACTTTATTTTTTTTCAAATAATAGAAAGAAATTTTTTATTATTTTTTCGTAAATTTTTTATTTTAACCAAATACATGTATGAACATTTTTTTTTTCTAACCAAACGGATCCTAATACTTTCATGAATCAACGCATGACAGAATGAATATTTCATTGTTACTCATACCATATTTGCTATATTATTCACTGTCGTTGGATTAGTGATGATTAACTGCAATTACAATCAAATTGGAAGATCTTTTGAAAGGATAAATTTTAATATAAAAGTAATGTTAAAATTTATGCTATATTGAGATTTTAACTATTAAATATTTTGCAGCGTAGCTTGGATGAGAACAACATATAAAAATGTTAATTTTGAATTTAAATTAATGTTCTTGTTCGTTTTTGTTTTATTCAATCCATTAAATAACATTATTTATTTAATTTTTGGTTTTTTTAAGATTGACTTACAACATTATATAAAGAGGTATGTATGTTTTGTATTAAATTAAATTTATTTTATGTTATGTTTTATCTATGAGCAATGTTATAGGGATTTAAATTTATTTTATGTTATGTTTTATCTATGAGCAATGTTATAGGGATTTTATTTGGAGACCTAATGATGTGGTTTTAACGTAATTATTAGATTATTTGTGAATTTCAATGTTACATATAATCCACAACCAATTCAGTGGTTGTACATTATTAAGTCCTTAGATTAGATTCTCAAATTAGGTGCAAATAACATTTTTTTTTATCTATATATTATTCTAATTTAATAATTGTGTTTTTAGAAAGGCTTGTACGGGTGGCTCTTTGGGTGAATTGGATTTTGGAGATTGGAGCGACGATATTCTGTCAAATTGTGAGCAAAGTAAGATTAGCTAATCTTAAGATTTTTAATGTATGATTGACACCAAAATCTCGTCATTATGATAATAAGAAAGCAAATAACTTTGTCACGGTAAAAATAATTTCATCTATAATTAAAACTAAAAATTTATCATTGTTAGAGCAGTACAAATTTTTATAAAATTGAGACTGTTAGATTTGACCTCCAATAGGAAAAAA